AGGCTCTTGATGAGAAGAGGTTGGAGCTCAAAGTAGCCTTGAATGTTATCAAGCTCGTTTTTCTCGCGCCTTTACCAAAAGAGTTTGCCCGAGATCCTTTAAAGTAGGAGATCAAGTCCTTGCCATACGAAGACCCATCATTACTTCCCATAAACCTGTAGGAAAGTTAACTTCAAAATGGGATGGGTCATATGTCGTACAAGAAGCTTACTCAAGTGGGGCTTACAAGCTGGTTGATGCAGATGGCATGAGAATCGGCCCTATCAACGACAAGTTTTTGAATAAGTATTATCCTTGAAGTTGTGACGCTCCTCGACGTACGATCCTAAACTGCAAGTCGTGACGCTCATTGACGCACGAGCCTAAACTGCATGTTCCTACACTCCTGGCCTGTATTAGTCTAAACTGTGTATGACTTAAAAAAAGGAGTAATCTCTCAGATAGTCAGGGGCATATTGAAAGTAATGTTTCCGATAGTCGGACCACATTGAGAGTAATCTCTCAAATAGTCGTGTCACCTTAAGAGTAATCTCGCCAATATTTGAAAAAGGATGAATACCCATCCCTTCACACCCTAAGATCACCTTCTTCATGCTTGGATCATCTCATTAAATGAGAATATATCTTTCTTGCTTGACCTGCAAAAAAAAAAAAAAAGGAAAAAAGGCAAAAGAAGAAAAAAAAGCGAAAAAAAACTTTACCTACCAGAGACGAATTTGAGCAGGTTTGCCAGTTAAAAATTGATGCTCAATAAACGTGCAAGCATATGTTTATATAGATGATAAAAAGCCGTTGTTGAGAGCTAAATATCGATGTGGGATGCTGCTATAATCATCTTCTAAAAAGGATTGGACTCTATCGAGAAGGAAAACTTGTAGAAGTATCATTTATAGTTCTGGTACAATAAGGAAATGATTCTAGTTGATTGGCGTGGAGGAAATCAATTCCTTCTCTGACTTAAAGTCTTTTGACAATTGAATTACATGAAAGGCATCATTAATTTCACCAAGTATTTGAAGTCCTTTGTATTTTCAAAGATTATATGTGATAAAGTTTATAACGTGTCTCCAAAATGGAGGACAACCAAGAAAAAAGACATAATATGATACATGGAAGGAAATTAACCAAGTATGTCAAAAAATCTTAACTAGTCACGATGATAATTGACTGCTATCCAATTTCCACGTGCTATTCAAAAAACTTTAGTTGAAGTTTGAAATGGAATTAGGAAAATGGATTTCTTGGAAAATGTCATACAGAAGGGCTGGACGTTGGAAGTATTATTGATTTTTGGGTACCAATCCATTCGGCATTATAAGAATCAAAATTCAGTCACACTGCAAAGAGAGTGTACACAGAAAGTCTTAAGGAAATATCCGAGGTGTGCTTAAGTCATTTTATTTTACTTATCCTTCAAGCCTCGTCTTTGAAACTCAACAAATTTATACTTCGTCAAGTCTTGAAGTAGAGAGCATTTATAGGCATATAATTTTATTAAAAATAAACCCATAAAATAATTTAGATTATATTTTAAAATTCAAAATATGTTGGTCCAAATAAATATTATGGGCTAATATAATTGAATTAATTATATAAGTCCAATATGTAAGGATTAAATAAATAAGTCTTAATCCATTGGACTTGCCCATTTAATTGGGCTAAAGTGATGAGTCCACTTCATTAAGCCCAAGACGTCATCTTTCTAGAGGCCCAGTTTGGTGTCACGTGTCAAATAACGTGGCGCACCAAGTCAAATGTAAAAGCCAATAGGATCATGCCACGTATCAAAATGACAAGGCATGCCAAGTCACATTAAAAGGCCAATGAAATTGCACCACGTGTGCAAGTGACATGTTCTGGCCAATCAAATGCGGTTATTTCACACTTCAATTTGATTAGTCGGAGAGAGTTTGTTCTTATCATAACTCTTCCCTCTCACAACTATAAATAGGGGTCTTCATAACCCAGAAAGACACTAGAAGTTATAACAAGAAGGAAGAGAGAGCTCGTGGTTTAAACGCCACAAATTTCTCTACAAGTTTCAAGCTTCAAGCAATCAAGTTCAAGTTCAAGAAATCAAGTTCAAGCTCAAGAACGAAGAACAAATCAACATTTAAGGAGTACGAGTTCAAATTAAAGTCCGTGCTCGTTGAATTCAAGATCATCGTTCCTGGCGACAAATATAGATTCAAGATCAAGCTCAAAGGCCCTTAAATATATTTACTAATGGAAGGAAGAATCAGAGGATTCATAAAGATTGTACACTCATAATATCTGAAATAAAATATTACGATTGTTGCAATATTTTTCGTGCTTGATTTTATTTACTTGACACAATTTATTGTCTACAATGCTATCTCTCTTTTGATTCTTTTTTTAATCTTGCTTTTCTTTAACTCTTGTTATCTCTAATCATGGCCATTGTGTATATCAGGGGCATGACATTCAAATTTTTGGCGTTGTTTTATCTTCTCCCCTCCTCCCCTCGCCTTTGCTTCTGCAAGAGGAAAAGAAATAAAAATGGAGACTATATATATCATGGAGAAATGTATTTGTATTTTTTTCCATAGCATGTCACGAGATGATTCCATTAGAAGCTTTACTATACCAAAAAAACAAAAAAAACAGCCAATCCTTAAAATAGTTCAAATCCTAAGAATATATTGTACTCGAGGTTCAGATGTACTGTATATTTTAGTCATGGTGCCAAGTGCCAACTTGCATCAACTTGGTTACGTTATTGGTTGCTATAATTATATCGATTCTTGATCCAAATTGCATCACTTTTCCTTTAGGTTTCAAGTTCTTGTTTGTCCTAATGGAATATTGCTCGCTTGTAGACTTGTACAAACACCATTAAATCACGCAGGTTAACATAGAAAAAAAAAAGAAAAGAAATTTAGTTGCACAAAGGCATCCTGCATTTTATGTAGGGTCCGAAGAAGGACCATATCCTGAGAGGTCTAATGTAGACAGCCTACTTTAATGTCAGCATTAGTGAATAGTGACTGCTTGCACGGCTCGAACGCGTGACCAATAGGTCACACGGAGACAACTTTATCATAGCTCCAAGGCTTTTATTCACGGAGGACCCATGTATATAGTAATATTATAATGGAGTATTATCACTTTTAGCCCGCGCCGAAAACTATTTACATTGGTAGCCGAAAAAGTACATAAAATTGTATAATTTTTGTATATAACATACAATATATATATATATATATATACACACAAAAAAAATATAAATTTTATATATTTTTTCGGTTATTATTTTTACAGCAGCTATACAATGTCATTTTTCTTATTATAAATAGCAGTTTCGAAATCAAAATTTGTATTTTTATATATTTTCCTACTTGTATAGTTCTTTGTTTAGCCCAACTTGGGGGATTTGCATCTATACCCGCTTTTTGGGTCACGTTTTAACTTGTGCTAGCTTTGCAAAAAAAATTGCAAGCGTACCCACTTTTTCGCGTAACTTCAGCATACGTGGCTGAAGTAGCAAAGACAATCACGCAAAACTTCAGCATTCTAGTAGACGGGCCTGAAGTAGCAAAGGGAGTGCTGAAGTTATTTTGTTTTGGATAGGATGCTGAAGTTATTAGTTCATTTGTAAAAACTTAAGCACTAAAATAGCTGAAGTTTTTTTGTCCTGGATTCATTAGTTTTATCATAAAACTTTTTCAAAAACTTCAACATAAGATGCTGAAGTTATTTAGTTCATTTGTAAAAAATTCAGCACTAAATAAGCTGAAGTTTTTTGTCCTTGATAAGCTTTTTCAAAAACTTCAGCAGAAGATGCTGAAGTTATTTAGTTCATTTGTTAAAACTTCAGCGTTATATAAGCTGAAGTTTTTTGTCCTTGATAAGCTTTTTCAAAAACTTCAGCAGAAGATGCTGAAGTTATTTAGTTCATTTGTTAAAACTTCAGCGTTATATAAGCTGAAGTAACATTTTGCAGGAAGAGTGAAATATAAACTTTATTCTTTCGTTATTAGTAGTCTTATTGCTACTATCCACAAATGTTCTTTCGAATACAACCAACCAAAAGTTCTACCAATGTGTTTGCTATAATTCTGATTACTGTGTCCCTTTTTCCACAACTTTCGTCACCCCAACCAATGCTTCGTTCAAAACAATCTTACAATCCACAGCATAAAATCTCAGATTGTTAGTGCCTTTCAGTTGTTAATAGAAGAAGAAGAAAACGAAGGAGGAAGAGAAATGGGCTGAAATTGTTTAAAAACTGAGTACAAGTTAAAAAATTTTAAAAAAATGGATATAGGTTAAATGAAGACGACAAAATAGGGTGTCCCTTGCAATTTTTACGTCCAACTTCTCACTTTTAAACTATGATTAGTATGGGCCATATAATTCACAAGCCTAAAATTAGTCTTGGGCCATATGATTTACATGGACAGCACCAAGCCCACATTTCATTTGAGACATGAACTAAAATTTCAATGTCAAATAATTAACACCGAAATTAGGGTGTATTAGAGTCTCGCACCGGCTATTAAGGGATGAGAATGTTTGTTTATATGATATTGAGCAATTTTCACCTCATGAGTTAGCTTTTGGAGTTAATTAGATCCAATATCCCGACGTTTCGCTTTCTCTTTTATTTCCTTATTGGGGAGCCAATTGAAGATAACAAATACAAGAAGTTTGTAAGCTAAATAAGCAATCACATATCCAGATACGTAAATACAGTCAAAATCCCCATAACAGTCTCGTTTGTTCCGATATTTTTTGGCTGCTACAGTGAAGTGATGTTATAGAGAACATATGTTATAACGTAATGTTAAAATCGGTTTCGAAAAAACTTGACTTTTACGGTGAATAGTTATTATATAGGGGTGTTGTTACATAGAGGTCCGACTTTAATAAAAATAGGAACGGAAGCCACAAACGAAAACTATGGCTTAAGCTTAAGCCTAGTGGCTATAAATTTACAGAGTATCACTTAGATGAGAGTTTCTCTAGTTCTCATCTCCACAATTCACGTACCACCTCTTACCTCAAAAAGAATTTTGTGGAAGAGAAAACAGTTTAAAAAATTTTAAAAAAACTGTTTTCACAAGGAAAAAAGTGACTCTCCTCGATTTGTTAAGGACAAGAGTAATTAACGAATAACAACTCCAGGAAAAAGGAGTGAAAAAATGGCTAAGGACAGGGCAATTGGTGTGGCAGTGGATTTCTCAAAGAGCAGTAAAGCAGCTCTGAGATGGACCATTGAAAACTTGGCTGCTAAAGGTGACACCATTTACATCATCCACATCAAAACTCACACTCTCGGCGAGTCTCGCGATCAGCTCTGGGCTAAAACTGGTTCTCGTAAGTTACCCTGTTAGTGTAATTTAATCTGTTATAAAACGTTATCTGTTTTATTTTCTCAACAATTAATTCTCAGCAGTTATCTGTACTTATCGTTAAGTAATCTGATGGTAAATATTCTTTTTTCGTTAGCACTTGTTCCGTGGGTGGAGTTTAGGGAGCCAGATGTGCTGAAGTATTATGATATCAAGAGTGATGTCCACGTTCTTGATTTGCTTGATACAGCTGCGAAGCAGAAAGAGGTTTGATCTATTAATTACTGTAAAACCTCTCTATATCAATCTCGTTTGTTCCGGACTTTTTTGGTTGTTATAGCAAAGTGTTGTTATAGAAAACATAAATTATAACATTATATAGAAATTGATTCTAAAAAATACTTAGCTTTTATACCAAATGATTGTTATATAGCGATGCTGTTACAGAGATGTTTGAATGTATATGTTTTTGTTAATTCTAATTGTTGCATTCTCTTTAGTCATTTCTTGATTTTTGTACAGATAAAGATTGTGGCAAAAGTGTATTGGGGAGATGCTAGAGAGAAAGTGTGTGACTCTATTGAAGATCTGAAGTTGAATTCATTGGTCATGGGGAGCAGAGGCCTAAGTACCATTCAAAGGTACTTATTTTCAATAACTTAATCCATTTCTATTCTTCTCTTTTTTCACTTTATAAGTACTGAATTGACTTTTGAATGTGTTCCTTTCGGTGTGGCAATTATAAAACAGGATAATGTTGGGAAGTGTAACAAACTATGTATTGGCAAATGCGGCCTGTCCAGTGACTATAGTAAAGGATCCTGATTTCCACAAGCATTGATGAGAAGCAACTGCGAGAACGTGAGTGCCAAATGTGAGATTTGTTGGTCGATGAATAAGTTGAGACATAAATGGTTTTTATATGAATTATACTCTATCCGTTTCAAATTATCTGTCGTATTTCTCTTTTACACGTCTTTTAAAAAAACATTAATTAAAAGAAATTTTGGATTATTTTATCCTTATTTATGTCTTAAGATATAATATCTCTTAATTGAATATTTACTCTGTTTATGTGCTATAATCAAACCTCTCTATCATTCACTATGAAAGTCAAGTTATTTATGGAACCAATTTTCATGCTATGTTATAATATATATTATCTATAATAGCAATTATCTATAACAACCAAAAAATCCAAAACAAATGAGATTGTTATATAGTTCCTTAAGAGAAAAGAATTTTTTTTAAAGGACAAGATATTTATCTGCAAGGTAGAGACTTCTTTTTATTCTTGTGCATAATAGTTACACATGTGTACAAGCTTTATGCCAGGGCTCGAGCAGTCTATGTGGACACGGTTTGTCACACCTCCTTCTTTACTACACCCCGAGAAGGGTGATATAAGGGAGTTTTTTCCAACTTAAAGTGACAAAATCGAAACGGGATCATTTTATTAAAATTCAGAGTCGCCACTTGGGATAATTTATGGTGTCCCAAGTCACCGGTTTAGAATCCCGAATCGAGGAGAAGATTGACTCTGTTTTACAGTCCGCGAACACAGAGATCCAGGTAAGGAATTCTATTAACCCGGGAGAAGGTGTTAGGCATTCCCGAGTTCTGTGGTTCTAGCACGGTCGTTCAACTGTTATAATTGGCCTATTATCTGACATGTTTTAGCCTATGGTACATTTTTAACTTATTAGCGGCTTTTAATTAATTTTAGGAAGATTTCAACATCATCTAAAATACGTCTTTGAACCGCGCCACATGAAATGCACCCGCAGTCCGAGACACATTTTATTTAACATTGTTAAGATTTGGATTTGGGTCACATGAAATGCACACCCGAGTTTAAGAAAGTTAACTCAAAATTACGCGCCTAAAGCAACTACATGTTTTAACTTTGCGAGGGCCATGAAAAATTCACTAAATGGCACACCTCGATCTCTAAAGAGCAAACACATTAATTAAATGAAGGCCGTGCATTTAAAATTTTGTTTGTCACGGCACACCTCGAATCCAATTTTTAAGAGAAGCCCAATATTAAACTCTAAAGGGCCATAACTATATTTGCTAAGTATGGCGCACCTCAACTAATTGTCTAAAATTCCTTATTTTTGAAACCATGAGGGCCATCAACTATTTCTATTAATATGGCACGCCCCGAAGTTAATTCAAAGGACTTGCTAATTAATTAAAGACATGAGGAATTCCCAACCATTTATGAAAGTTTAAACCCAATGGGAGCAATCTGCACTTACTAAAAAAATCCAAACAAGTTATAGATCCATTGTTCCCCATGACCATTCTGTCAATAATCAAGAGATCATAGATGGGCTCCAACGTGAAGCCCAGAACCAGGAGCAGCCAGTAAAGAGAATTCGGCACAACTGGGCCAAAATTATAGCCCAAGTCATTGTCTTAAACCTCAATCGCCGCATGAAATCCAGTTGTAGTGAGACATTCAGAATTTGGACACTATTTCATCATTTAAAAATCATTCATTTGAATTTCCAACGAAAGAGAACAATCTGAGATTTCAAGTAGACTTAATTCGCATGCTGACTTCTGATTTCCACATTAGCACACTTAAACAACCTCATGATTTCAACTTATTAACAGAAATATGTGAAGAACTAGACTGGGCTGAGATCCAGCACATAACCAAATTGACTTTCATTTAAAATCCCTCATAGAAATACAATCATCACACAAACAAATGGGAAAGGTTGGACAACAAACTCTTGAATTTACTAAACTATGCTTCAACCATAAGAGAGCAGGGTTTGAAAACTAAATGAGAAGCAGAGTATGGGTCGATTGTGTTGGACCCAAAATTTGAATTGAGGCGTTTGAACCCTGGCCAAGCTAAACGGCTCTAACTAATCAGCTAAGAACCTTACTCCTTAATCAGTAAAATGTTTAAAAGTCCAAACAGTCCTGAATCATTACATTCAAGCAAGTTCAAATACAAACCTTAAAATGTAATCCAACATTAATGACATAAATGACTACACATGATGACTAAACTAAAGAACACATGAAGAAAATTATAGTGAAATCTTGCAATCATTTGACATAGAAACATGCATCAATTATCATTTCTTCAAGCTTGGTTACATGTTTTCTGATTCACACTTCACATGTCACTTAAGAGCCAAGGAAATACCTGGAGATCGAAATAAAAACCAAAAGGGTGAGGAATCAGTCAAACAACAACAGTATAGCAGAACCAGCACCAGTAAAACCAGTTCAAACCAGAAAAGTTGATGCAAAACAGAGAAATAAAACAGTCTCAATCGAAAGTGACCACAATAGCTTCAAACCAAACTTTAGAAAACCCAATTCAATCCATTTTCACACTCAGATGAGTCAAAAATCATTTCAGAAATTGAACAAAATCACTGAAGAAGTTCAATGAAACAGTAAAAATTTTAGCCGTTTGTTTTTTTCTAGATTTTTTATCCCTTAAAATCTGCCTTGAAAAGCAAGGTAAGGTGCCTTTATAGGCAAGCTATTAGGGCAACCTAAGGGATCAATTTTTTGCACTTTGCACCTTTTCTAATTTTCATTTTAGCTTAGGTATCCCTATTTTAAATCTCAGAACTTCACAATAGTCCCCCTCCCCAGTTTGCTAGAAGCTTCCTAATCAGTTACCCAAAGATTCTCTTACCTAGACTACCCAAACCACCCCTCTAGGTCGTGCTAATTACCCTCAAAAAAATTCATGGGTCAATTGAACCCAAAGACTCAAAACCAGCCTAACTCTTACAAGACCTGGGTTAATCCCTTTTCTTTGGGCCCAGGTCTAACTCCGAAATTTAGAAGAAATGAGGAGGCAGAAGAGGCGATTCGGATTTCAAACCAACCAGGAACCAATGTTCTCAATACGTCCCAAAATTAAACAAACCAACCTAACAAGTTTAAACAAAACAGAGGAAGCTAATAACTAATATTAACTCTAACTAAAAAGAACCACATGCAAAGATAATTTTGAAAACAGAAGAAAGAGAGGGAAAATAGAAGAAAATAAGAGAAGAAACGAATGGAAGAACACTGGACTTACCAGATGAACACAAGTTTGAACTAATCTCCAAAGAAACCCCTTGATTTTTGGCCCAGATAGACTTTAACCGTGTGTTCTCGACTGAAAACACATGGTTAAAGTCAAATTCAACCTCAAATATCTCGAAACCTCGCGACTCTGATTTTGGGATTTAGGGTTCATATTTTCAAATCCAGATTTGATGAGTCTGGTGAAGATTCGAGGGAATCCAATTGTGAATCAGGTATGAGGGGGTCATGGGGGGTACGGGGTGTTATTTTGGGGTGATTTGGGTGGATTGAAGTTTGAAGGTCCAAACTTTGATCGAAGATTCGACAAGTTTCCCGATGATTTGAAGGGAACTAATGACGGATTCGTTATGAAGGGGAAAAGGGGGTGCTATGGTGTAAGGATTGGGGTGGTTGGAGGTGGCGCCGCCGACCCAATGGCGGTGGAAAATCAGGGCGGTAGATTAGGGTTTGTTTTTGAAGAAGAGTGGGGTTGAGAGAGATGATGAGGGAGGGGGGTTAGGCGTTTGGACAGTTTTATATTAAGGGAACCTCAGTTCCCAACCGTCGATTTAGAGGAGATCCAACGGCTCAGACTTAGTAACACCAGAACGGGGTCGTTTGGTCTCTGGACGGGGCGGACTGGGTAGTGGGTGGATCTGGGCCGGGTTTGGACGGGTTTAAGGAGAATTTACGAGTTGGGCTGGGGACTTTCAATAAAAACGGCCCAAAATTAAATCCTCTCCAATTCCTTTTTTTGTTTTTCTTTCTTTTTTTTTTCAAATTCATATCTCTTTTTTTCAAATTAAAATAAAATCCTTAATTAATTCATAAAACTAAATTAGCCTATAAAAACACTAATTAATTGTAAATAATAATTATCACAATTAATTAATAACCAAATTTAAAGGAAAACTACCCAAAATCAAAAATCAAAATTAGAATGTGCAGAATGAATTATTTTTTGTAATTTTCCCCTTTTTTATAAAACAAATAATTTGTTAATTAATCCTAAAATGTAGACTTAAATCCTAAATGCAAATGCAACATATTCTTGTATTTTTTCAAAATTAACATGCACAGACAAATGCAAACAATTAACAGGAATGCTATGAAAAATCTACGAAATTGCAAACAATGGAAAAATTATTTTGTTTTGAATTTGTGGGAGTAATTCATATAGGGCAAAAATCACATGCTCACAGATGCCCCTCTTTGCTCGAAAACACAGAGAGTTTTCGTGTGAAGATAAAGTGAGCGGATATAGGCGATTTTGCCTGTTTGAATACTCCGTGGAAAGCATTTTGAAAGATTTGACCGCACCCTGCTTCCGAGGTTGCCTACATATCCTTAGCTAAAAAGGAATCTGGTCAATGTAGTTCAGGAATGTTTGGTAGCTGGGACTACCATGAAGCTGTGATTTCACTGTTGCTGCTGCTACTACTACTACTAATACTGAACGCCTTATTACACCATGTCAAAATAAAAAAAAAACTAGACTAGACTATGATCTATGCATTACAAAAAATCCTATCTACAACTTCAAACTTGCTCTTGTGGTTCTCGTTGCCTTGTTGACTTGTACTTTCCCGGTGAAGTCCCTTTGTTGCCGATTTGCATTGTAATCCGAGATGTTTTCCCTTTCTCCAGGTGGATGCCTGATTTCCTAACTTGAATTATATTCCCGTGTTCTCCAGGTGGGCGCCTGACTGCTGAACTTGAATTATGTTCCCATGCTCTCTAGGTGGGCGCCTGATTGTCAAAACTTTAATTGTATTCCCGTGCTCTCCAGGTGGGCGCCTGAGTGCCAAAATTTGAACTGTATTCCTGTGCTCTCCAGGTGGGTGCCTGATTGCTGAACTTGAACTGTATTCCTATGCTCTCCAGGTGGACGC